GATCTAGTTGATCTGGGGTCTAGATCTGCAAAGATGTTAATTCCTTAATTTAGTCAATATTACCTGAGAAATGCAAATTTTTAAGTGTGCCTAGAAGTTTTCAGGCAGAAAAGGTCACCTGAACTATTTTAAGCTTATGTGACTGATGCACTGATTAGTGATTTGAGTAGACTCAAATATTTTCTGAGGCTTCAATATTGGTTTGAGTTTTTCGAGGCTCAAATACTGACTTGAGCTGACAGGGCAGTGGGTGCCAGGTTCAGCTTAACTCAGTGATCCATCTGCTGAAGGGACTCTTGCAGGATGAAGCTTTGTAACAGAGCACCTTGAGGATAATTGAGCAGTAGAAAGTATTGATCCTGTCTGCAGCTGATAATACTTTATTCACAGTATATGTGGGATTGCTGTGTTCCCAGTTTTGGAGGTTTGTTGTTTTTTAAAGAAATGCAGTATGTTTCTGTGAATACCAAGGAGAGCATTTAAGTGTTTGGTGATCAACAAGGAATGGCCTTCAATTACTGTCAGATACAGAATCTAGTTTGATAAATTAGAGCTAATAAGCATTTGCTTATTTCATCCTGTGTTATGTGTACTAATCCTGCACTTGAAATGCTTGGAGCATTTAAAGGTAACATCCTGCCATAATATCTTCTTCCTGTGGGTCAATAAATTGAGACATTGTGTTTAGATACAGCTTTTAGTGGGTCTGCTGAGGAGTGAGAATGTTTGAAGCATATTCTGTGACTCACCCAGGTCTTTACATGTGCATTATTTAGTCTTAAATCTCAGACGTCGTTACCACTTTTGAAGTGAGAGAGGAAAAGTTAAATGCTGCACTATTTAATGCTACTTCCATTTAAGGATTTTCAGATGTAAAAGAAAAGAAATGGGTTTTCATGTCTTTTAGTTTCCTGCACTTACAAACTTTTATGATTACTTGGCATTCGTCAGGAGGAAAGTAGATGGCAGGCATGTTCTTGGAGAGTTCTAATTATTGCTATTTCAGGTGGAAGAAAGACTCTAACTGGACACATGAGATTTTTTTTTTAAGATGGCAGATTTGCTTAAAAACCATTTTTATGTCTTTTTTGGGGGATGGAAGCAGGGAATGACCACCTGGTATTTTTTGCTTGTTTGTTTTTAGGAGGTAGGGAATTAGTAGACATTAAACATGAATGTGTCTTTTAAAGGTTTTTGGATGATAGGAGCAATGATCTTGTTTTCATTACTATTTTTCCTCTCATAAAACCAGAAAAACAAGTCAGTGGAATGCCAGAAAACATTTGTATCCATTTTCTGACTTTCACTTCCATGGAGAATAGATGGAGGAGAGTGCTGAGGAGTGAAGGGGCAGTGAGTTTATGTGTGTAGATGTACAGACCTACACGTGTGCACACGTGTTGACACATCTCCAGTTTATTTGCTTGTGTCCTTTCAGTTCTCTCTAACCTGGGCTGTCACAACACTGCTAAGCACTGATGGAAAGAGAACTGCAGGTTTCAGTGCTCTTTAACTGCTCACTGTAGGGCCATTGTGTTCATGAATTTCTGTCTTGTCTTCAGACTTCTGAGTAACCTGGTTTGTAATCCCACAGGTTACAAACTGGAGGTCATTTCTGATCTACCAAAGAAAACAGGAGACTATTGAAGATGTGTGTGATGTCTTGTCAAAGAACAGGCCTGGCTTGTTAACTATTAGCAACAGCTTAGGATTTGTTTGGTTTTAGAAAGTAAAGCATAGCACTGTATTTGGTTATATAAAGTAAAGCATCTAGAAAAATCTCTAAACTTTGCCAAATGAAGTAAAACCAAACACAGTTTATTTTGCAGATTTAAATAGCACAAAATAAAAAATCATATACTCTTCAGCTTCCATATTGTGATACTGGCACTGACAAATAAGTTTCTAGTATTCTGATTCTGAACAGTAAGTGCCCCAAATGCCCACTGCCCCATCCTGCCAGGCTCTGCTTTATAGGTCTAAGATCCTAGTCTTTGGCTGAGCTGAAATGACTCTGGATCAGTGTCTGCTGGACTATTTCCTTTTTTTTACTGAAGTAAAACTTTTAAAAAATAACCAATAGTGTAGCACAGGAGTTTTTATTCTTTGTAGGTTAAATGCTGTTTCCTTAAAATTTCTTCATGGATAAATTAGCATGTAGGATACTGTGCAGACATTTAGTTGAAGATATCTAAAACATACTGAAATTGTTTTAAATTTCCTTATCTCAGTTGTAATTATGAATTCACAGCACTTTATATTTACAGAAAGACTTCAATTTAAAGGAGAAAATGATGCTTTAATTTTATTGTCCAGCCATTGATGTTTCTGTAGAAACAACTAGCTCACAATAGATTGCTATTTATATACCTTGCTGTTAAATATAGCCATGGTTTTGTTTAATGTTAAACCTCGTGCAGCCTGGCACGTTACTAATAAGGCTTCTGTATGTCAATTTGTAGGTTACTTTAAGGTTCAAAAACAAGCTTGAGTTTTTGAGCTAGTCTTCTGAGTTTTGTGTCATAAACTGACTGATGTAGTTCATGGTAATCATGGTATAAATCCACTTTATGTACTTATGTTACTTGAATTCTGAATAATTCTGGTGTTTTTTTTTTTCACGTGAAGCAATATTACCACAGGTAACTTCTTTTTTGTGGCTGAATCAAACACCCAACATTCATTATATTTGATTTTAATGTTGTTATTTTCATCAAAGAAAAACTTGTATTGCCAATCGTGTTTGAAAAATGCATTTGAAAATCCTTTCAACTTGCAGCAGAAACAACCTCAAAGTACTTTTCTAAGTCATGAAAAGAGAGATTTGTTCACGGCCTTTATTTTTTGTTGCTATTTCTCAGTTAATATTCCACAGTGAAAGCCGTTGAACTAATTAAGCATTAAAAGGAGGAGCAGTTAGCAGGTATAATGTTGTTAGACTTCAGTTAATGTGCATGTGACCATGACCTCCCAGACAGATCAAAGACTAATCTGTCTGACAGCTACAAGATGGCAGAGCTTGCCACGGGCCTGCTGCTGCTCTTGCTGAAGCTATTTGTCTGTAAAGCATGCCTGATAGCTAAGAGTATATTTTTAAGGATGAACAGGTAAAAGTAAAAGGCTGTCTTTTGACATTTTAACTAATCCCTTCTAGCCTGTGGTTTCCTGCACATTTAGGATATTTGCTAGCAGGAGGGACTGGCTTTTTCACATATGTAACATGTCATTTTGAATTGGGCGTTGATTTGATGCTTGATAATGTAAGAGTTATACAATGAAATAGATTCTGATTGCATTAAAATGACATGCCCTGGCCTTTTACCTTTAGTGGACTTATAATGCAAACTGAACTCTCAGCAATGTGAGTTGTCATCTCGTGCTGAGACGTGATCATTTAAGTGAGAAAACAGAATGTTTATTTTCTGCTAACCCTTTTTGAGTTAAGATGGAAAAGATAGGGTTTAGAGATACATTACACATCTAAACCAAGAGAATGTGGATTTTTATTTGTTTTGAGAAATGAAATGTCATTGTTGATGTGCAGTACAAGCAGTGGACAGTTGCATAATGCTAACATGTATCAGAAGAATGTAAAAGTGATGGGTTTTATTTGCAGGGTAATGCAACACGATGCAGGTGATCTGTCTGGTTTGCATTCTTCTGTTACTTCAGTGATTTTATGCCCATCATTAAATATGTCATCATTTTTGTCAGTGTAAGACATGGCTAGTTACTCTATTGTTTTGAACAGTCTGCTGGTGAAATCAGAAACTGTAGTAAAGCTCCACTGGCAAAAATCTTACAGATAATGAAATTCCTCAGTGGAGGAAATTGGTAGAAAACTTACCAGGACTAGAAGACAGATGCAAAGTATGTACAGGAGCATATTGCTACTGGTTATGTTTTAAAGACTTCAGAGAACTTTTCCAACGTCACATCTCATTTCAAATGGTGAAAAATACCCTTTTGTTTCTCCAGGTAGCATTTCCATTTGTAGAAATGCACACATGTGCTTAAGTTCCATTTTAAGGAGTGGTTCCAATGTTCATGCAATGTTCAAAAGAAATCAGCTTCTGTTTTGAAAATTATAAAGGAAACCTCACATGCCAGTCAATAAATCCTGAGTGACTGGAACAAATATTAAATCTGTGAAATCAAACTGAATTTATTTTCTGGCTGTAAGGATTGAATTTGTAAATTTGACAGGCAATTTTAAAGGGCATAAGTACATAAAATAAAATTTCTTATCCAAATGCAACTTGAAAGTTACCTGTCAGAAGAGGTTAGAAGTCTGCTGTTTTCTCTCCTGAAGCGTGTCCTTTCAGTTGTCAGTTTAGAAAGGTTAATACTGTTCAAAAGAGCAATGGAAAGCCCCTTTTGGTGTGGCTTTATGTTTGTTTAAAAAATAAAAATATCTTCCCCCCCTCGCCCAATGATAAATCTTTTTGCTATATGTTGGAAGCTGGGAATTAGCACTGGTGTTGGTGGCTTCTGGTATTCTGGTGAGGCCACTATCTCTAAAATACTTCTTAGCTTCTGTGGAAGGGGTTATATTTGCTTAACCCCTCGCTTGAGAAAAGTATGGTCTGGTCCCAGCAATGGATTAGGAGTCAGCATTTGTGATAAAGGACAGGATAACGATCTCCATTGTGTCATTTACTTCCAGATGAGCAAATAAAACTCTTGTCTTGTTGGTCCATTAACTTGTATCTGGGTTTTTGCCTGTGTGAACAGCTTGTCCTTCACTTGCTGGAGGGAGCTGGATGCTTGAGTGCTTGTTGTGTTATTACGTATATATTATTGGAATAGATCACATGATAAGAATAACTTTAGAACTTTTTAAAAGCCATAACTGGTTACTATGCAAAATACAAAGTTGAAACACTGAAGTACATTTTATATATTCACTTATTTAATCCATGTTTGCTTGTTTTCTCTTTCTAAAATATTTCCTTTTCAACATCATTATTAAAAGCAGTGTTTGATTATTTTCTTCTTAGGTTGAATTAAAGAGGAAGTACAATGACCAGCACAAAAATACAAGAGGCCTTTTACCAGGAAGTCATTGGTATGAAATTCAAGCTTATAGGGCTCTGAACCAAGCCCTGGGAAGGTGAGATATGCTGAACATAATTAAAAATGTATATATTGGTAGAACTTTTTGTGTGTGTGATATCTTTAAGGATTAATTCCTCACTGTTAACGTAAGGGGGATAAATCAGGCCAGAAATCAGGCAGAAATGAGGTTTTCAGCTGTTCTGTGCTGGCAGCTGTCTGGATTTCAGTCTGTTCTGCATTTAAGTGTTGTTGTAATTCAGAGTTTTTTGTTTTACATTCAGAATCCACTTTAGTTTATTTGGAAGGGAAAGCATTTGCACAGACAAATAGTTCTTGAGTTCATTATAAACCAAATGAACATTCTTAGGTCTTTTCAAATGTACTAATTGTTCACACTCCTGGTGGGCTGGGAGCAGTTGTTTGATGTTTAGCCCACAAGTATTTTTGAAAGGCAGAGATAGCGGGGGGCTTCTCAGACCTTTGCAAAAGGTCAAGTCAATTATCGTGCTCACTGATCTCTCTCCAGGTTTAGAAGTGGTGCAGCTTACTTTCTAAAATGAAAAAATTCCTCCAAATTTTGTTAACAGGACAGAATTAATTCAGCTAAAATGAAAAAATTCCTCCAAATTTTAACAGGACAGAATTAATTCATCCTTATCCAACAAAATTTATCATACATATAGCTGCATGTAGCTGTCTGTCATCCATGTGTGTCATAGATGCCATATATGCCTGTCAGGTATACAGAGGTGCAGACATTGACTGATAGATAAGAGAAACATCAGCTGGAAGGCTTTTGCTATTTCAATTAGATAATATTGAAACACTAATACCAATGTGATAACATAAATTAAAGTTTTGAAGGAAAATTCAGATAAAATAATCTACGAGGATCTCATTGTAAATTCTTGTTACAAGTCTGATTAGTTAGATTCCTCTTTGGAGAGTAAAAGTGTTAGTTACAATTTAAGAAAGATCTAAGCAATTTGTGGAATGCTAATAGTAAGAAATTAAAGTTTTATCCCTGTGAAGTAAGTTTTAATATAAATCTGGTTTTAGTGATAGTCGCTTATTGTATAATTTATCATTTGAAGGAAATTTTGCTAGTCTAAGCTTAAATGGAGATAACAGACTTCCATTCTGAATTAAATGTATCAGTTGTGTACCATACCATTAGACTAAGCTCGTACTAAACTGGGATTTGCTGCAGGATGACAGTGTGTGATGACTATTTTTATTAAACCAGAACAGTCTATGAAGCTGATGCTAAGTCACAGTATATATGGTAAGTGGGCAAGCTGCTCACTGCAGAGATGCCTGCAGGGCTGGAGGTGAGCAGAAGCATGACAGTCCTCAAGCTGGCACTTTTCTCTTAATTTGGTGCTGCTGCATTATATGGAGTAACACAAGTCCATGAAGTGAAACAGCAGCCTTTGGGGATAGAGCAGATGGTGTGTATGGCCAGGTGACAATCGTACTGTGAATTCCTTGCTGTGCTACGTTTTCCAGCAGTGTAGAATTTGTCTCCAGTGGGCATACTTTCTTTAAACTGCCAGTTAAAAGAACATTTATTAAAAGGAATAAAAATTAGAAGTTGGAAGGAATCTTTTTCTTAAAGGTGTTTTGATAGCTTTTCGTATCATGGAGAGACTTCAAATGTAGATAAATAACATTTCTTTGGAGAGCCAGCCTTGTCACTCCCATTTTAAGCTGGGTCTCCAATACACTTGTAGCTTTATGTACATTTGTAAACATCTTCAAAAGCTGTCCTCTTCTTATACAATGGGGATAATAATGTTAAACTATTCCTGACAGATTCTTTTTCCACATTTTGTTATCACTGTTCTTTAGTAATTTTTTTTTCTGGCAGGCAGTGTAGAAATCCAGATAACATTAAAAATATCATTGCATGTAAAATGCCTGTTGGATTATTTCTGTAGGTGTCTAACAACTGAATTATGAACTCAACAGTATCTTTCACAGCTTTGATCTGTAGCATTATTCATTTCATTACTGAAGAGATCTGGGAATGATGTGTGGGTTAGAAACAAAAAAGTGCAGTTATTAATAAACCGGCTGCAGTTGCATTAGTCCACTTCCTTTTCTTTTACACTTTTACATGTTTTCCTTTCAATATTTAATCTACCCAATTAAGAGTGGGGAAAAAGTGGCATATGCTATGGTTAGCTGCTGAATATTTGTGGGTTTGTGGTGGTTTGGTTTTTTAAGTTAACAGTTTTCATATAGCAGATTCAAGAACTGAAGGTATATTGAGAATTTTTGGTCCAAGGAGTTAGGAAAGCACTTCCTGTATATTTTTGTGTGTTCTAGCTGACTCGTTGCAATCCCTGTTGCCTGATCCCCACAGTTTTTTCATTATATGCACTCTCTACACTCTGTTTTTGTTGCTCACTGGCAGGTGTATACGACATAGGAATGACTGGGGTGCTCTTATTTTAGTTGATGATCGCTTCCGGAATAACCCCAATAAGTACATAACTGGTAAGCTGTAAAAATCTTTCTGGGAAAACTCTTAGTATTAACAAATAGTGAAAAACAAAGATTACAGAATTGTGGTTATGCAAATGCAAGTGAGAAGGAAAAGTCATAATGAAATATACCCATTGAATTCAAATTGTGTGGTTGAAACTGAGATCTCTAAAACTGTCCCCTGGTGTATTGCTGGTTCATTAAATACACTGGAAAATGTTGATGCCCATGTTAGGTCAATTTAATTTACTTCCTCCTTTGGATATACAGATAATGATAGAGAAAATTCAGTATGCAGAATTTGAGAATTGTTTCTTAAAATGGGACCTATAAAAGCTTAAGGACTCAATCTTTACATATTAAATATATATGCTGCACATACACATACATGTTTAGGTGTCCATGTGTATATATTTTAAAAATAGTTACTATTATTTAAATTTGGACTTTTTGAATTTAAAAGTCTGGCTTTTTAGATAACAACAAGTAAAGGTGGTGCCATTTAGAACCACCAAATGCTCAATATGCAAAAAGTATTTTCTGTTTGTATATGGGTTTATACTGGCTCAAAATAAATGCAGGTAAAATAAAGCAGTCATGCACACAACCTTAATAAATAAATTTTATTTTTTTTTAAACTAAAAGCAAGTGATTGGAAATGTGTTATGTATCTGTTCCTGCCCTGTTTGGAAGAGAGGGGCAGTAAGATGATGTGAACAGATAATGTTGCAGTCTAGTCAGCAGGTGGAGCTCAGCTGCTGCAGTACAAGTCCAACTGCTTTTCTGACTTGTCTGTACCAAAAATACTTTTAAATGATCTAAGTAAAGAGAAGTAATTCATATAGTAAAGCAAACAATCTATATGTTCAAGACTTGATAAGATTAGTACCTTTTTAAAAAGTAAAGCTGAACAGAAAAATCAAGTTTTCTGTTGTTTGTTTGTTTATTTTGGCTTGGTTTTTTAACTGATAATAAAAGAATATTTAAATGTTCACAGTTCCCAGCTCTGGAAAGGAAGATGTGCATAATCTTAGTTTCATCAGCAATGCCTTGAAATCTTCATGAATCTGTCTACACATGTGTAGAATTATTAACAGTATCAGGGTACTGTTTGCTCATATGAAATATCTGATATAGACGATGTAGGTTTGGAGTAACAGTTGTGCTTTTTTTCTTAGGTTTATCAAAATGGATTCGCCAGCAAGTCCAGCACCATGACAGTTTTGGTAGGGCACTTGAATCCCTGCAGGCATTTGCTGTAAGAAACCAGAAGGGCATTGATTGTTCATCAGAGTGCAGCAGTGAACCTCTCCACGTACCTTCAAATTCAAAAGACCTGTCACAAGGCTCTCAACAGGAAGCAACTATTCATCTGTCACCAGATGTGTCCAGTAAAAGTGAAGAGCAAAATTTGGTTTCAGAAATTAATTTTAGTACAACCATCAGCTCGGTTAATCCTACAGCATCAAATCAGCCAGGTAACATCAGAGGAACAATGAAACCAAGTACATTAATTTCCTGTGGAAAAAACTTCATTAGCAGTTTTAAACGTGAAGTTGTATCTTTTTTAGAAGAGGCAAAATGGGTTTTAAAATTAAAGAAGTTCTAGGGTGCAGAATGATAATTATTCACAAGTGTGTATGAGCTGTGCTCAACAGACTGAAATTAATTGTTGTTCCATCTGGTTGTCTTAAAACAATAGATAATGCTTTAAGTTTATATTATAATCAAAAATAAAATGTTTTCACTTAAACTTCTTTTTGCATTTGAAACAATGAAGATAGTTTAAAGTGTATTTGAAACACCTAAAGATTAGCATTATTGCAAGATGAATGCCTTGGTTCAAGCTATCTGTTGTTTAGATCTCAGACACCTTCCATATAGTCTCTTCTGGTACCAGTTTTACAAGTAAATATCTATCCATTCCTAAATTTTAGGAAATCTTATGACTTCAGGAAGGTCTAAAGAACAAAAAAGCACAATAATAAAAAATTACAAACTGAAAAGCCATTCAAACTTTAATTTTACGTAGGCCGGTTAATCTATTGATTTAATTATGACAATTCATGTGCAAAGTTAGTTGTAACATCTGGGCTTTTGTTTGTATTGTATGTTAATAAGTATTATGAAATAACTGTAAACCTAATAAAACAGTGGTAATTTTGATGTGCTAAACATGCTGTAAATCAGCAGGAGGAAGGCATATACAATTAATTAATGTTTTGTGCTCTTTGTCACAGGTGGCCAGAAAGTTGAAGTAGAGACTCATTCTCACCGTGTAACACAGAGAAGAAAGCATATGGACTCCACACCCAAAATGCCAGCAACTAAAGCAGAGAGAGAAAAAAATAGTTGGACTAATGGTGCTACTGTGAAAGGACATTGCAGCTCTAAACCTCTGGCTTCAACACCTTTGCCTGTAGCCAAGAACTGCATGTCCAGAGCCAGCAGTGAGCAAAAGAACATGAGTAGTGCCAGTGAGCTTATGGATAGTGTAAATCAATGCCAGTCATTAATTTCAGAACATAAGCCAAGAGTACCAGAATCATGTTTGAAAACAACTAATTTTTCAGTTAAAAATACTGAGGTTCCTGTTGATGAACATCCTGATAAGCTGCAGCTTCAAGCTGAGCCCTGCAGTGACTTCACTTCAGCAGCAGAGAAATCTGAACTTTCAACATTAAACATATCTGCAGAGGCTGAAGCTGAGGATGAAAGTATCTACTTCACACCAGAGCTTTATGATGATACAGACTCAGAAGAACAGCAAATCAGCCCACTGGTCCCAACCTGCAGTATAAATGAGAGTCACAGTGAATGTGGAAACTCCACAGTCACTAATGATCTTTTTGCAATTAACACCTCAAAAACCAGTGTGACTAAAAAACTGTTTGTTGATGATGGCAGAAGCACAAGTTTACATGGAATAATTCAAAATGAGGGGCATGAGAATAGTGCAGCTAATAAAGCAGAGAAGACTAGTAAAACAGAAGCAGAGCAGGTAGCATCTCAAGAGATGGACACCATAAAAAGGAAAGTCAGTCTGTCCAGATCATGCAATAAAGGTGTGTCATCTTTTTTTTTGGACAATCCTAGCCCATAGAGACAGGTTCCATAAGAAGCACAGTGGCAGCTTTTACAACACAGCCTCACTGTAGAACAGTGATGGCTTTCTAGTTCCCATTTAATAGGTGCTACTACCAGACTTGATTTTTTTCATCTGGATTTGACTGAAAGTTACGTGACACACAGTTTTCTATAGGTATAATTAAGATTCTTCATCCTAATTGTGTGGTGAAAGAACATCATGTGTGGACATTCCAAACAGAAGTCCAAGCATTTGATTTGTAATTATAGGCTGAGGAGGTTTGTCTATCATAGAGTTATTAACCCACCATTAAATACAATCAAACAACTGGGTTTGTCTCAGGAATTGAAAACCCCATATAATCAAGTTATGGTTTTTTGCATTTGTTAAGGGTTTTATTTTTTTTTAAATATGTAGAACAGCATCTTTGCAGATCAAGTACTATGATAGATTGAGCCTGGATACTGAAATAGGTGTATGCTTCAGGATTTTGTTTACCTCAAATTTCTGCTATTCAAATGTCTATCAGAAGCTGTGTAGCGAGAGTATAGTAGAGATTGAACAGTTGGATATTTGATGATGAAGAGATGTTTCTTTGGGGGTCTTTCTTTTATATAAAATTTGGCGTTTCTTTAACATTTCCTTTTGTGAGAAGATCTAATTTCTTTGGGTCAGATTCTATATGTATTCCTATCAAAACGTGTATTCATTTGTACAGCCCTACAAACACCTTTTCCATACAATATATAACAATGTAAATTTGTACATAAAGGTCTTTAAATCTTCCTCGGTCTGCTTTTTCTGAAGAATTTTAAATGTTTCTTTCACTTACTGCAATCAAACCAGCCAGGGTTTTGCTGCAATAAAACATACTATTTCTGATTTTTCAATAAAAGTTTGTTGATCTCCATCATATATTAAGATAAAGGTGCAGGACTTTTACAGTCTTAGTTCATGGGTGCTTATATATTTTGACTGAGAGCAAAGGTGAAATGAACCGGTTGTTTTCCACAGAAGTTCATCTAAGTAGCATTCTGATGGCCACATCTGCAGATCCCTGAATGTGTTCAGACCAGTAGGGTTTAAATTGTATCCTTTCTTTACACAATTAAGTACTCTGTAAGAATGGCAAGGATACTATTGAATTTCTTTAACAAACATTATCTTGCAGGACTTAGGATAAGACCTTTGGTTAAACTTTTTGTTATTGATGCCAGAGAAGGATCATGATTTCTCAGTTTAGGTTTCCTGGTATTTGCTTAATGATTGGATGCTGATAGTTTTGAACTAGTTGATAGAGCAGAAGCAGGATCTAGTACAGACACCAATTTAAATATATTACATGTCTAAAGATAAAAATACTTCATTTAGGTTGAAGTAATTAATTGAACAGCAGGACTTAGCAGAGTAGACATGGTTCTGTTTAACTGGATTCTGGAGTAGCACTGTCCCACATCCCCCAGGAAATGCTGAAGCAGCCTGTGGCAAGTGGCTTTGCAGCTACCTTCCCAGGAGCTGAACAGCTTGATCCTCATGAGTCTCTAATAACTCTGTTTTCTTAAAACAAGTCTTCTGTACCAAACCACTCTTATGCACATCTAAATAGATAATAGAAATCACTTAAGCTTTGTGGCTTGTCTGCTTATCTCATAGACCACTATCCCTTATTTGTCTTTCAGAAGATTTGTCTGTATTTAAATCCCTAACATTAAAAAAAAAAAAAGAAAAGAAAATCCATGTTCCTTTCCTTATCTGGAGCAGATTGTTCCTTTCTTCATCTTGTGTTGCATCTTTCTTTGATTAGAAATCCTTTAAGACGTGGCCTTCTTCATGTCAAATAATTTGCCTCAATTCACAACATCTACATTTTATATACAATTGCTCATTAACTATTAGTTTAAAAAAAAATTTATTGATATATAAGCATTTGACCTACTAGATGCTATTTTTTTTTTTCTTGAAAAGTCTCTATCCCCAAATTCACTAAACTCAAATCCTGACCATGGCTGTGTTGCTTGAGACAACTGATGGGTAATAAACCTTTGCATTACTGCAGGGTTTTGGGGAGTAAGAGGTGGACAGTTTCTTCTAGTGTAAAAGCTGTGCACACTCAACCAAATTTGTCTTTATATCTAACTAAGCGTGGCATTTAAAATGTAAATGGTAAGACCATTTTTTATTTCCCTAGTTAATATGATTCCCAGTATTAAATTAAATATCCTGCTGCCCAGCCTCCAAGTAGAAGTGAAGTCAATGTACCAACTTCCCTAGAGTTATTTATTTGGCTCTCTCAGATCTATGAAAGCTGAATTGTTAAAAATTTCTCTCATACTTTGATATGATAGCTATATAAAATTTATTCTATCTAAAATAATCATAAAATTTTGGATTTATTAAAGGATTGAAAGTTCAGAGACAATGCAGACGAAGAAAAGCTGCAGTTAGGCAACGTGCCCACCCCTGTGAAAGAAAGGTACCACATAGATAGAATAAAGGTCCTGTTTGAAGGGTCTGCTGTGGAATGTTAAGATGCAAGTGAAATAGGAACGATTTATTAGATAATCTTTTAAGTGAAATAGTTTATTCATGGTCTGCACGGTTCGCTCTAGATCTTTACGATGTACATGCTCAATAGGTACCTTTGTTTTCGTGGGGAAACAGGCTGAGTGTTCTCAGGTCCTGTTAGCACAGGTAGAAGCTGCAGATATGAACTGCCTACAGAGTCCAGCTCATAACTCATTACAGATGTGACTCCTGTTTCAGTATAAGCAGAGCTTCTGATTCTGATAGTTTTTAGGGCAGGATTTGCAAAGTGTAAGGACATAATGGCACTGAAACTCCATCTGAATTGAGCAGCTATCACCCCAGGCTCCTTTGCAAACTCCAAACTAAATCTTTGATGGCCTGGAGCATTATAGACTATAAAATACCTCATATTTTATATGAAAGTATTTCTACTTAGGTTAAGCTTTTTTAGCATGATTTTTATTTTAATTATTAGCTAATAGAAATCATCAACATTGATTCAGATTTCTTTGAGTCTTTCAGGTAGCATATTTCCTTGTGTTTTATTAAAAAGCTTCAATCTACAACTGGATTATTGCATGATTACTATATGCAAACTAGTATTTATGTGAGTTTGTATATTGTCTTGTTAGAAGGAAACACATCACCAGCCTTGCAAGAAAGGACTTTATTGTATTGTCTGTGGAGCTGAAATACTGCCAAAAGCAGAGGGTAAGATCTCTATAACTGGTCCTTTATTTCAGGTTGGGAATGATGGGATTTTTAATCCATCTTTTAACTTTCACACTTTTGGATACTGGAGAAATATTTTAGAATAATCAGTTAATTTCTCCAGTGTGTATGGTAACTAGATAAAAGAGTTGCTAGAAATGCACTGGAGACCTGCAGAAAATCTTTTTGGGGAAGAAAGAGGGAGTTAGGCATTTCAGTGAAAATAAGTTATTCTTAGTTCAAGGAAAATAAGTTACTCTTTCTGGCATGTTTCTGTTGCTTGACTCAGTGGTCCTGATACACTGTGACCAATCTTGAAGTACAATGAGAATCCAACTGGTATTTAAGAGTGAACTGAAGGCAACTGCTCCTGGCTTTGTGGGAGGCTGAAAGAAATTATTTGTAACGTAGTGGCCCATTCACTGGGGTATTTTCCTTCTAAGGATTTGGTGTTAATTTGCTACCAGCTGCTGTGAGAAATTTGGTTTTTAGTTTGGTTTTTAGTCCTCAGTTGACTCACTGTATGAAATGTGGATTAGATGTTTTTGGAAATTGTCTCTACATTTTTGCGTGGCACTTTGATTTGGGAAATGAAAGCACCTCTATCTTCTGGTTACTGGGCCATGTGTGGTAATGACCTAATTACAAAACGTTCTCATCAATTACATGCAGAGACAATTAGCTGTAGATGCTTCATACTCCTAAGCAAGGTACAAAACATTGTCCTCCAGGAGAATTTAGTAAGAATTTAACTGGTCCCAGGTTTTACAGATCTGAAGGTAAGAAGGCAGTAGCTTTTGTGTGCCTTGTGAGTACATCTCAGGGCCTGGAAAGCTAACCAGGGTGCTACATTTTTCAGAGGTGTTAGAGCTGATATGGAGCTTTAAATAGAGAGATGTGCATTAGACTCAGAGTGGAGACCTATTTCTTGTGCAGAATCTTGTTCACAGCAGCACCTGTGGTAAGGGACCCTTGAACATCCTCTCCTGTTCTCTAAGGTCCCTTCCACTGTCCCAGAAGTTCATTAAGTGATGAAACAAGCATAGAACTGGTAACAAAGAAGTGACACTAGCAAAAAAATGGGTAAAGGGAGGCCACTTTTTGCCTCTGTTTTCGCAGAGCAACCATAATGTATCTCCTTTAAGACACGTGTAATCTCATCAGTGAACCTTCATTTTCTTGATATTAATTTATCAACATCAACATATTTTTGCAATTTGGTATTTGGAATCACTGGTGTACTTTAATGCCTACAGTTAGCAAAGTGTCTGTTGTCAAGAGGAAGTTTTGTGCTGTTTAAACTTAATCTCAGATGTCAGTTGCTTGATGAAAGTTTAAAAAAATCTGACACAGTTTGAAGAAAATGAAAAATAAATGACTTTATTCAAAATGGATTTGGACTCACTGGTAAATTTGGGAGTAATAACAAGAGGAAAATTATCTGTTGAAAAGTAAATTTTGAACACATTAAAAAAATTTAAAGAAGGCCTTCTTCCAAGGTCCATTCACAGCAATAGAAGTCTTTTCACTGACCTCAGTGGGTATTGGATCAGGGCCTAAATTACCATCTTGTAAATGTGGAAAGTTTGCAGTATGTTCACACAGTACTGTATTCAAAACCATGTATGTATAAGCCTTACACCCCACTTTTTAAATTATAGGAATTTTGAGAAAAGCCTGCTACAGTAATATAGAACTGAAAATAATCTGGACACTCTTCAGAAATACAAATATAAGAAGTAAAGAATCTGTTAATAACTGTATGTGTGAACTAGATG